TAGGGCCGCAGGCTCTGGGCAGGCGGTGGCCTGGCCAGCCCACCAGCCTCGCGGTTGCCTTACAGATCTACTACTACGCAGACGAGATCTACAAGAACGCGGGGGTGGCAGAAGATGACGTCCAGTATGTGACGGCGGGCACTGGGGCTGTCAACGTGGCGATAACCATTTTAGCCGTGAGTGTCCCCGGGAGCTGAGTGCCCTCGGCTGCCCAGGATGGAGGGCGCCTCGTGAGTGGCCCAGGAAGGAGCCCTCGGTCCTTTCACGTGTCACCCCTGGGCTCTGCTCAGGTGACAGCCTGTCTCTTACGGGAGCTGGCCTATGGCTCTTCAAAGATGGAGACGACCCCGCCCTCGGCCCCAAAGCTCCCACTGTGCGAGTGGCGCTTCATGGAGGCCACTGCCCGTGCCAGGGCCCCAACACGACGTAGCAAAGGGGACTCCTGGGCTGCACAGTGCTGGGCCCGCTGGCCATGCAGGGACCCCCCTGGGCACACCACACATGGGCTCCTCCCGGCGCCCCTCAGAGGGGGTGTACGCAGTGGGCGGGCAAGGAGCTTCCTGCAAAGGCCACTCCAGGCTGGGGTGTGTGTGTGGGGGGGGGGGGTGGCTCATGGCTCCTGAGCCCCCGCTTTTCCTGGCCCCTCCCCTCCAGGTGTTCGTGGTGGAGCTTTTGGGGAGGAGAATCCTGCTGCTCCTGGGCTTCTCCATCTGCTGCTCCGCCTGCTGCGTGCTCACGGCCGCTCTGGTTCTGCAGGTGAGAGGGTGCAGCCCCCACACCCCACCCCCGGCAGCCCACTGCCCACTTCCAGTGGCAAGAGGTGGCACCTCCTGTTGAAGGAGGAGTCCGGTGCCATCCTTGCTCCGCCTGGGCAGAGCAGCCGGCCCTCTGGGAGCTGAGATTCCTGGCGCTCCCTGTCCCAGGCTGTCTCTGCGCTGCCCCGTGTGACCCAACTCTGTTCCCCCCACAGACCACCATCTCCTGGATGCCTTACCTCAGCATCGCCTGTGTCCTCATCTACGTCATAGGACATGCCCTGGGGCCCAGTATGTACCCAGAGCTGGTTCTGCTTCCACTGCCCACTCCCGCACCATCAGCCCTAGGAGCTCCCGGCTTGAGCTCCCTGGAGGGGCTCTGGGGACCCCTGTTCCTGCTGCAGCGGGGTGTGGGCAGAGCCTACTTAGAGCAGAAAGAGTAAAGCGGCCGTGTAGGCTGAAACACGCTGCCCCGGGGGATTACATGCTGCCCCGTGGGATTGGGGTTGAGAGCCTAACAGATGGTCAGCCCTTTGGGGACATGGTAGGATGTCACATACTGTGCTGAATTCTGGCTTCTGGCCTTCTCACCCTGCTGCTGGACCCCGAGTCCTGGAGACTCGCCACGCCTGCCCTGCACCATACCCCGAGGCCCCTGGCACCCAGCAGGGGCTCCAGGACCCTCGGTGGGCGTGCTCTGCCTTCAGCGAGTGCAGCTCTTCCTCTTCCGCCCCCGCAGGTCCCATCCCCGCGCTGATCATCACCGAGATCTTCCTGCAGTCCTCCCGGTCCTCGGCCTACATGGTGGGGGGCAGCGTCCACTGGCTCTGCAACTTCTCGGTGGGCTTGCTCTTCCCCTTCATTCAGGTAAGTGTGACCTGGGGGCCCTGGGCCCCCGACATCCTCACGCAGGAACGGGAGAACCTCTTCCAGAAAGTGAGCCTGGCTCCCCTTCCCGCAGGAGGGCCTCGGGCCCTACAGCTTCATCATTTTTGGTGGGGTGTGTTTTCTCACCACCGCCTTCGTGTTCCTGGTGATCCCGGAGACCAAGGGCAAGACATTCATGGAGATCAACCAGACCTTCGCCAAGAGGAATCATGTGTCCGAGGTGTACCCAGAAAATGAGGAGCTAAAGGAGATTCCGGAGGAACGCAAGAAACTTCCGGAGGAAATGGAACTTCCGGAGGAGACAGAACTTCCGGGGGAATGGAAGGAACTTCCGGGGAAGCAGAAGGAACTTCCGGAGAAGCTCAAGTCCGTCTCGGAGGAACTAAACTTGGTGTCGGAGGGACTAAAGGAACTTCCGGAGGAAGTGAAGTCCGCGTTGGAGGGACTAAAGGAATTTCCGGAGGAACTGAAGTCCGTGTCGGGGGGACTAAACGAACTTCCGGCGAAACTGCAGACCGTGTCGGAGAATCTAAGGGCAGTTTCAGAGGCGCTGAAGGCCGTGGCCGAGGAACGTCCGGAGGAACTAAAGGAGCTTTCGCCCTCCGCCTCAGAGCAGTAACTCGGGAGGAGGCGCCTGCTACGTGGTCGGCGGCGTGGAGCCCCCTTCTTGGGTTTTTTTTCTGAGTAACAGTTGTCTATAAATATCCAGAACTAGGACAGTCCAGTGTGGGATGCAGGCCCCAAAGGGCTTCCGTGCAGTTACGAAAGCCAGACTGCCCCCTCCCCAGGCCCAAGTCACAGTGAGCAGCCGTCCTCCCGCCATGGCGGGGTTAGCCTTTGTGTGGCTCCTGTAACACCGGCTTTTAGGACAAAAAGCATTAGTGCGGCGGTGAGAGAGAAGGAATCCAATTTGGCCAGAGAAGCAATCCTTTCTCCAACCCCGTGGGTCTTCTGGGGGCCACGGGCCTGTGTTCAGAGCAGAATTCATCCTCTTGTCAGATCCACCTCCAGCATCACCGCTCCGGGAAAGTGTGCGGTCGCAAGCAACGATGTCCAGGAAAGTGGAGAGCAGGTCCCTACGGAGACTTGAACCAAGTCAGGGATTGTTAATCCTAAATTGTACTGTTAGAGGACAGTGGAATTGCCTCTGAATACTCAATAAAACAAATGCGATCATTTTTCACCAAGATGTGCTGCTTTTCTATGAGCAGGTGGGAGGAGGGGGGTATTCCCTGCTGCTCCAAGCAGGTTGACTGCACTGGAGTGTAAGCCCATTGAGAACGGGGGTTTGTTGATCCCAGAGTCCCCACTGCCTGGAGCAGGCATGAAGGAGGCACTCAGGCAGTATCTTCTGGAAGAGGGGGAGAAAGGAGAGATGAGGTGGTTGCAAAGTTGTGAGTTTTTAAACTTGAGATTGGGGAAGCCTCTGCATGTCTTCAGGTACATAGGGAACACCGAGAGGTCCTAAAGGTGAGATGGGGAGGGAGGGAGGGAAGTGGGTGTGCCCCACAGATGCAGCAGAGCTAGAAGCTTTGCATAGAGACCTGGGTGTGTGAAGAGGGCATGTGCAAGAAGATGGAGAAAACTTTGAGGCGTGGGAAAGGAAAGTGGAGAGAACACCTACTGAATAGAAAATCTGGTATTGGGGGGCGGGGGGCGGGCAAAAGCTCAGAACCAGGTGGGACAGAAGTGGGATTGGGCACAGCTTTTGTGGGGGGAGAATGATCAATTAAATAACCTATAAGAGTGTTGAAGACACAGACCAAGTAAATAGCAAAACGCTGGGGTTGAACCATCCTTGACCTTCTGCAGCAGGGAACTGCAGTGTGGAGGGGCCACAACAACAGCCAAAGATGGAAGCTCTCGACTCTGGGGAGCAGTAAGGCTGGCGTGTGGGAAGACAAGGGACTGTGGCGTTATTAATTCAGCTCAGGTTACCTGCAACGTCTCGAACACAGGAAAGCTGTGGAGTCCATGACTCTGGGGGTCTACCCCCTGGGGTCAGCCTTGGTTCTGCCGCTTAGTAATTGCATATCTTGGCTTGAACTTTTTTGTACCTTCTGGCTTTTCTGTACCTCAGTTTCCTCTTCTGTTAAATGGGAGTAATAATAAAATGTCTCACATGGTTGGTTATGAGAATTCAATGATGTGTTTAGATCAGTGCCTGGGGTATATTAAACACTTATTTATTTTTTAATTAATTAATTTATTTTTTTAAATTAAATCGTTGTTGTTAAAAGTATTACATATGCCCTCCTTTTTCCTCCATTGACCCCTTTTAGCCCACCCCCACTGCCCTCCCCAGGCCTTCACCACCCTATTGTCTGTGTCCATGGGTTATGCATATATGCATTTAAGTTCTTTGATCTCTTCCCACCTACCCACCCTCCTCCGTCTTCCCTCTGAAGTCTGTTCTATGCTTCCATGTCTCTGGATCTATTTTTGTTCATCAGTTTATTTTGTTCATTAGATTCCACATCTGAGTGATATTATGGAGCATTTAGTTAACTTTTAAGTGCTTGGGAATGGGCTTTGATTTTGAGGGCAAATAAATTCACAGGTAACATACAGTGAGAAACCTGTACTATACATGTATACTGAGATCTAACAACCAAGCAAATGGATGGCAGATGGAGGCAACCATCTCATTGTTGCAGTGGTAAGTTACAGATAAACCATGAGAGAGAGTCTAGAATGATCCACGTGGTATTAGAGTAGAGCTGGAGATATTGGTATGAGCTCATGGTCAGCTTCTTATAGACTCAGGTGGCTACATATGAGAAAATTTATAGATGTGTGCATTTACCCGGTCCAGTAAAATCCAACCAGAAGAAAAAGAGATGGGCCTGGTGCCATGATTGCACTGAAGGAAGATGTGGAATTAGGAAAGACAAAAAGGATTTCTCCAGCTGGAGAAGATGCAGTTGGAAAGTGTAGGATGGCTATTCCAGGTGAGATGTGGAGGTGTTTAGGGGAACTCCGGATTGGTCTGAAAGTGAAGCCAGAAAGATGTGGGAAGCTTACCTAGAATCTGTGGGTCCTTAGGAGCCAAATTGAGTGAGAACTTTGACCTCTAGATAATGCCGGTGTTTTCGTGACCTCTGAGTTTCAGAGCTGGTGTGGCCGTAATGAGAACGGGGTGGAACTTGGGTAGGGCACCCAGTCGATAAGAAATAATGATGGCCCTGCAAAGCCAGCAGTGGTCAGGCCCAGCAGGGAGGAGGAATTCGAGAGAGACTCGGAGGATGCAGTGACCACGAGGCCATCACAGGTGAGATGCCATTCCTTCAATATTTCTGAGCACCTACTATGTGCCCAGCAGTGGATACAATGGATCTAACAGTCAAAAACACAAGTAAGCACATACCTAAGATCATTTCAGATAGCACTCGGGGCAAAGTGTTAGACAATGTCAGGCAAGAGTGGGTTTACTTTCAAAAGGGTGGTCTCAGGGAGGATGGTAAGGCCCTGAGACTGAAAAGCCACCCCTATAAGTGGAAGACAGGGGCCGGCCACTCCAGTCTGGTCATTAATAGGGTCTATTAAGGGGAACTCACATCCGAGGCATGTCCTGGGTGGCTGCAATGTGAAATGACTTCCCGTGCTGCTTGGCAAGTGCCAACAAATTATATAGTCATGGGGGGAGGGAGGATGGGGGAGAGGTTTGAGTAGTCACAGGTGCTAGTCCGTGAATGCCACAGGTCTGGGAAATGACGGGCTGGACCAGGTGAGAACAACGGCCTGTTCAGGGACCAGCGCAGAGCAGGAGATAAGGGAAGGGGGCTGGTATATGCCCGAATGAACATCAGTTATGATCACACAGCCTCAAGGTGGGGGTGGGGTGCAGGAAGCTGCCTCCCCCACTGGCCCAGGTCCACTCGTGGGTCCGGCAGCGGTCACCTCATGGAGCAGTCTCTCCTCCACAGAGGCCCTCCCCAAGGAGGTGGCGTTTCCGCTGAGACCCGGGGGGAGGAGGTTTCAAGCAGAAGAAACAGCAGGTAGGAACTCGGTTTTGCCATCAGCTTGACTTTGTTGCTGTGGTTAACTCAGAGGAAGGCAGTCAAGACATCCAGAGATGATCAGCGTTATCAAACTCCGAGCCTCGTGGCCAGCCAGCCAGGTGGCGTGCCAGTGGGACGCAGAGCGCACTCCCTGGGAGCTGAAAGGCCTGCTGGACCAGCTCTCCAGGGTCTTTAGGAGCAAACAGAGAGAGCTATGGTCGAAGAATAATGCCCCCCCCCCACTATGTTATGTCAGATGGCAAAGGGAATGGAAAGTGCAGATGGTATTAAGGTTGCTAATCATGTAACTTGGAGATGGGAGATTACGCTGGATTATTCGAGTAACCACATTGAAGAGGGAGAAGCAGGAAGACAGCAGCACAAGAGAGACACAAGAAAGACTCAGTCTCCAGTGTCGGCTTTGAAGACGGGGAAGCGGCTGCTAGCAAGGAAGGCAGGCGGCCTCCCGGAGCTGGAAAACGCAAGGGAAGGGATTCCCCCTGCAGCCTCCAGGAAGGAACTCGGCTCTGCTGACACCCGATTGTAGCCCCGTGAGACCGGGTCACAGTCATGACCTCCAGAATTATAAGGTAATAAGCGTGTGTTGTTGTAAGCCACTAAGTTTGTGATGGTTGTTACAGCAGCCAGAGGAAACTCATACACACCTTGGTACTGGGGAGTGGGGGAAGCGCTAACAAATACCTAAATATATGGAATGGCTTTGGCATTGGGCGCGGGGGAAGAGGCTGGGAGAGTTTTGAGGAGCGTGATAGAAAAAGCCTAGATTGCCTTGTACAGACTATTAATAGAGATATGAATGTCGAGAGTTCACTGTTGACTGGGTGGCCAGGCTGTGCAGCCAAGTTAAAGGGCAGGACAGTGCCACCTCGGGGAGAGACCAGTGTATGATTCAAGGTCACTGAGAACGGACAGTTCACACACCTGGCTCTAGTGGTGCAGCATGGACTTCCAGCAAAAGAGGAGAGAGAGCCCTGGCCTGTGGCTCAGCTGGTTGGAGCCATGTTCTGTGCACTGAAAGGCTGCCAGTTCGATTCCCAGTCAGGGCACGTGCCCAATTTGCGGGCTCTGTCCCAAGGAGAAGGCATACAGGAGGCAGCTGATCAATGATTCTCTCTCATCATTGATGTTTCTATCTCTCCCGCTCCCTTCCACTCTCTGAAATCAATAAGAACATATTTTTAAAAAGGAGAGAGGGCCTGCACAGAGCCTGTCCCTTGCAGTGTGTGGGTCCCCCGCTGTGCAGCTGTGGTAGGCGGGCGGTGTGGCTGCACGCACTGTGAAGGGACCCTGCCTCCTCCCCAGGGGGCCTGAAGAGCAGAAGGCTGGGTGTGCCTGAGGCCCTTGACTCACTTGCTTTAAGCAGAGCCCAGGAGCACACATTGTCCCAGCCCAGGGCCCATTCTTCTGTGACAAAGCCAGCAGGGCAAGGGACACATGCCTTTCTTTCCTAACAGCCACTCCGCTGGCCGGGCCCCAGAAGCAACAAGGGGCACCGCAGAGACCACATAGCACTTTGGAGCAGCGACATAAACCCGTGCGCCCCGAGAATCCTTCAGACGTGCGATAGCTGACTATTTAGTCAGGGGCGCGGACCTCTCCCTTAGACCATCAAATAACAAAATGCCAACAGCCAACACAACAAGAGCCATCCAGTGGGAACGAATCAAAGTTATACAAAAAAGGCATCAGAACGGCAAAACAAATGTATGGTGTGTGCAGAATGTTAGTAATTGGTTTCTGTGTGCCAGGCGATGAAAAGGTGGAACACCCTGCTTTAGAGAACCCCTAACTGTCAGGAGCAGATGGGTGGGAGCAATAAGGACCTCGAGTTCTTTCGCCGTGTGCTGCGCCCTCGGGCTGCCACCCACATGCCAACACATTGCGCCCAGGGCCCTGGTACGTCTCGCTTTGGTGACTTCGCGTAACGTTCATAACGTGCTGCCACATTCTTACGTAATTTTCATTATGATCCTTTGATCATTATTCATATCCTTTGATCATAATTTCCTAATTAGCCTGTCATCGTTATTCAGTCACTCCCTACTTCGTTTTTTCTCAGTAGAGGTAATTCTGAAATGAACACCTTTGTTGAATATTTTATTGACTTGTTTAATGCCGGTAGGTGTACTTAGGAATAATTACGTTGTCCGCCTGTAAAAGTATTTTATTTGCTCTTTCGTCCAAACGGACAATTAGTCCACGTGGGTGAGAGGAAGCACAAAGAACTAACAGGAGACGCGGCTGAGACCCAGGCAGACTCCCAGTTCTGCCTACGGCTAGGGAGGGACCAGTGGCAGGCACCCCCGTGGTACCTTGGTGGAGGCAAAGACAAAATCCATGCTTGTGTGAAACATATCTTATCAGACGCCCAAGGAAAGTGCGCTCTGGGGAAAGCGGGCAGGGTCCAGAGGCCAAAGGGCAATCGGGCCACCCAGGCCCCGCGGCGAATCGGTGGGTGCGGAACAGACCCGGGTGTCGCTCCGAGGCAGAGCGCACCCACTTCTCACCTGAGCAGCATGGAGGTGCCCAGCCCACCCCGGGAGGGGGTAAGTGCCAGGCTAGGAGAGGCCCCTGTCACTGTCCCTTTCCCACCAGAAGAGGGGACCCGTGGAGGGAGGGGCGGCTTCTGAAACGCCTACAGCGGCAAGAACAGCACTGGGGATCAGTCAGCTGAATCCCGCACCCCACCCTTCTCCGCAGGCTGGATCCCAGGCCAGCAGGGCTGAGGTCTGCGGGCAGTCACGCAGCTGATGGTGGGGTGGAGTTAGGGGCGCAGTTAGCAGGCAAGCCGAGGGTGGAGCGTGGCCCAGGGCGGTGGCTCTGGACCACTGGTCTCCTGGAGTCCCGGGAAGCACCGCCTCAGGCAGCTGCAGACCTGCCCCAAGTCTGCGCCCCCTGGGCTCTGGGGCAGTTCCCCGGAGCTGCCCTGGGTTCTGAGGTGGCCAGGGAAGTGGAATGTGGTGGCCCGGAGTGAAGGACAAGCCTCAGGCGCTCCAGCCCTCTGTCCCTGGCTCCCTCCACCTGGACACTCCTCCCCCAGGCCCAGGGCTCAGCCACTCAGGGCTCAGCTCCCAGGCCCTCCTCAGAGGCCAGCCCTGACCCTGCTGAACACGCCCCCCCCCCTTCTCCCCTGTTACCCTGTTGGTCCTCATAGCATTATTGGTACTTGGTGTCTGTACATCCTTTTTCTATTTGGCCTCCCCCCTCCCTAGAATGTAAACTCCAGGAGGCCAGCGGATGCTGGACCTTTTCCCAGAGCCTCCCCCACTCCATCCCGGGCCAGCACGTGGTGGAGGCTCAGCTTTGTCTTTAGGGAGGGAATGACTGTGTGCCAGGAACAGGAAACCATGCCATCCACGGTGCCCCCCACGTCTCAGAGCCCTGAGACCCCACCCCCAGCCAGCCACCGCCCCACCTTCCCTGGGCGGGTCCTGGGGTCCCCAACACCTGGCCCAGCTGGTGGGAGCCCACTTCTCGGGTCATGGACCTCATCTCCACCTCATCTCCGCAGAGGCTGCAGCCCACGCTGGTGCTGGCCACCCTGAGCGCGGGCTTCGGCTCGGCCTTCCAGTACGGCTACAACATCGCCGTGGTCAACACGCCGCACAAGGTGGGCTCCGGGCACTGGGGCTGCCGCCCGCTCCAAGTTCGAACACGAGTTGCCCAATCTTCTTGGCTACCGTGGGGCAATGTCTTCCAGGTCTTGAAGTCATTTTATAACGACACCTACTACGCGCGACACGGGACGTCCATGGACGAGAAGCACATGCTGCTCCTGTGGTCCTGCACCGTGTCCATGTTCCCCCTGGGCGGCCTGCTGGGCTCGCTGATGGTCGGCGGGCTGGTGGACAAGTGTGGCCGGTGAGCGGAGGGCGCGGTTCTCACTCGCGGGTCACGGGGGAAACCCCGCTGTCTCTGGGTGGTCTACACGAGGTGGGGGCTTGAGGTGACCTTGAAAAGCCTCGTCCCCAAGGTGCCACAGACCTTATGCCCTGAAGCCAGTCCCTGAGGTTCCCGGGACCCTTCCCTTGTCCTTGCACGGGAGCAGCAGCCCCTCTGTCCCCAACCCCGAGGGCGAGGTACCGCCCTTGAGAGCAAAGTTCTGGATGCAACTCCCCTTGGTGCCGTGTCAGCACCTGCAGCAGGTGCTCCGTAAGTGCTTGCCAATCGGGTCTGATGCGTGGCCAGGTGACCCGAGGCTCCAGGTGTGACAGCTGCAGCCTCGCCCCGCAGCTTCACCTGGGCTGCTGATCTGAGGTTGGGGGCTCAGACTGAGTCACTCCTCGTGCCTGTCCCGTGTCTTTGAGATGCACAGTGGCTCTTTGTCCTTTGCTGGGCTTGCCCGGGCTCCCTAATCTGGGTGCCTAAGCCCAGGAGCTGCAAAGAGGTGCCTCCCCAGATAAGGCAGGTGCCCAGGTCAAGGTCCCCAGGGAGGGAGAGTGAGCCAAGGCCTCAGGGTGAGGCACCGGGATGCCATCTGGCCACATCCCACTCGGAGGAATTCGCAATGACACTTGGACTCGATACGAGGAGACCAGCAGTTTTGGGGTGTGCGTGGAGAACCTTCTAAAGTAAAGAACTTTTAAAGAACTGTAGCCCTTCAGTTCCCACACATGGGAGAAAATATCGGCGACTGAAAACCAGTTACGCATTTCAGCGGGACCCATAGGACCCCTTCTTCTAGGTACTTGATTGGCACTTGACATATGTCGGGCACGTGAATGAGGAAACATTCAGTATGCTGTCCTTATGCCATAACCCAGGCTTTTGTGTAATCCAGACTGGGCTGTTCTCAGCTACACCAGTGGCTGGACTGTTCTAGAAGCCCAGGCTTGGCCTCCTCACCTGGACCTCCCGTCACAGAACCTGGGAGCTCAGTGATGGTCTCCTCGCCCCCTCACCTTGCAGACGAGGACACAGACTGCTCTGGTGGAGCCGGCCTTGTCCCAGTGGGTTCCCAACCGCCCTGAGCAGGAGGGGCTGGGCGAGGCCAGGCAGGGGGCGCTGTCCTTTCCGGCCTCGGGGCAGCTGATCCTGGGCTCTCAGCCTGGGCCCCGAGGGCAGCTTTCTCAGAGGAACAGCCGCCCTGGAGAGAAAAGGGGCCTGGGAAACCATCCCACACACCTGGGTGTCTAGCGCTGCCTCGTTGGGGATTTCCATGGGACTCTGTGCTACCCCTCCAGAGGGGTTTCTGTGTTTCTGTTTAAAGATCCCCCCCCACCCCTGCTCCTGGCATTGTCCTCAAAGGCGGGCAGAGTGTGGGCAAATGTCAAAGGCGGGTGCAGCCAGCAGCCACCCCACAGCCGGGACCTCTCTTCCTTCCTCATCCTCCACTGGTGTCTCCTTTGGCAAAGCCCAACCCAGGTTGGGGGTCCGGGCTGTCAAGGGAGCCATTGATGGAAGCCATCAAAGGGCACAGAGTACAGTCTGGAAGGGAGGGATGGTCCTGGGGGGCAGGGCAGCATAGTCCCTTTTTCTAGACTCCCCCTCCCTCTCGTTCATAGACTCCTGGGCTGGCAGCCTTGTCAGGGATCTGAGAGATGCTCTAGTCCAGTGGTTCTCAACCTGTGGGTCGCGACCCCTTTGGGGGTCGAACGACCCTTTCACAGGGGTCGCCTAAGACCATCGGAAAACACATATATAATTACATATTGTTTTTGTGATGAATCACTATGCTTTAATTATGTTCAATTTGTAACAATGAAATTGGGGGTCACCACAACATGAGGAACTGTATTGAAGGGTCGCGGCATCAGGAAGGTTGAGAACCGCTGCTCTAGTCTAACCCGGTGTCCCGCCTGTTGTGGGAATCCCCTGTTCAGCATTCCTGAGGGTCCTCCTCTAGTCTAGTCTCTGCCTGAATGCCACCAGGGACAGGAAGCTCCCTGCCGGAGGCGGCAACCACTCCTCGTCCTTCTCTGCTGTCCGCAGTCAGCTCCGGCTGTTGGCCCCAGACCTTCCTTCCTGGGACTTGTGTCTCGGTCCCAGCTTCCCCGTCCCTCCCAGCCATCGGTCTTCTCAGGCACGTTCCCGCAGGGGGTACCAGCTGCCTGCAGAGTAGAGTCGTGTCAGGACAGCCTCTGCGCCTCAGCCCCCGCCCTCTGGGCTCTGCTGTCCTTGCAGAAAGGGAACCCTGCTGATCAATAACATCTTCGCCATCGTCCCTGCCATCCTGATGGGAGTCAGCAAAGCGGCCAAGGCTTTTGAGCTGATCATTCTTTCCCGAGTGCTGCTGGGAGTCTGCGCAGGTACCTGGAGCGACGGCTAAAGCCCCAAGGCCACGCTCAGGTTCACCAATGGGGGGAAGGGTCTGAGGCCGACATACCCAGCACAGGGGCCCGAGGCTGGAAGCCGGGGAGATGAGGGTCCCCCTGGCCCTGCCCGGCCCGTGTCCCTTCTGGGGCACCTTCCTTCTCCTCTGCCAGACCCTGCGAAGCTCATGCTCTCCCTCCCCCTCACTAACAATAGCTATCAGGGCTTTAAAAATGCACTTTTGGGTGGTGAGCACACAATAGAGTATGCAGAAGTCGTATCATAAGTTTATAGACGTTATTAACCAATGTTACCCCAATAAATTTAATTGTAAAACTTTTCTTAAAAACCCCCACTTTTGCCTTGAAGTGTAACTAACTGAAAGGCTTTACAAGGTATTTTCTGAGGAGGATGTCCAGTGTGCACGGAGGGGGAGGGGCTGCGAGCGAAAGAAACAGGGTTTGGGGCCTCGCTCAGCAGGGGAGCCAGGTTCCTCAACCACAGTGGTTTCTTCTGTGTGTGTGTGTGTGTGTTTTAAGTGATACAAGTTACCTGTGCTTTAGAAAAGTCAGAAAATAGGTCAAAGCAAGAGAATCGTCCCAAAGTCCCACTATCCAGGGCCCCAGCTCTGCAACTAGGAAGGAGAGGACTTTGGCATCATGCCCTGCAGGTGGCCCCTGGGGTCGGAGGATTCTGGAAGGGTCCCCTCAGCAGTGCAAACTAAGCAGCCCACAGGGCCGGTTCTACGTCCCGGAGGGGAGGCGGGGCTTGCAGGGGCGGGGCTTTCTGGGGCGGGGCTTGTTCCAGGAGGCGAGGCTGTGTGGGGAGGCAGGTCTTGTGGGAGGCAGGTCTTGCAGGGGCTGTGCAGGGGCGGAGCTGTGTGGAGAGGCAGGGTCTTGCAGGGGCGGGGCTTGTATCAGGAGGCGTGGCTTGCATGGGACCAGCTGTGCAGGGGGCGGGGCTGTGTGGGGAGGCAGGGTCTTGCGGGGGCGGGGCTATGCAGGGGGCGGGGCTGTGCGATCTACCTGTCAGTGGTGGACACCCAGGAGAAGTTAGGGGGTTATGAGATGGAGCTGAATTACATCCGGGTCCTGGGTCCGGGGGCTGGGACTGCTCTTCTCCCTGATTTTTGTTTTGCTGGAACCAGGCATCTCCTACAGCGCCCTCCCCATGTACCTCGGAGAGCTGGCTCCCAAGAACCTCAGGGGCACTCTGGGAACAATGACCGAGGTTTTTGTCATCGTGGGAGTCTTCCTAGCGCAGATCTTCAGCCTGCAGGCCGTCCTGGGCAATCCTGCAGGTACCCAGGCGGTGCACGCCAAGGTCAAAGGGGACGAGGGAGGGGCCTGGGAGTGGTGTGGGGCCGTGGGCGCTGGGTCCAGTCGTTCGCTCAGCTGTGCCCATGTTATTGGTGGATCAAGCCTGTTGAAGCCAAGAGGTGACCTCTGGGCTGCGCAGTGTGCAGCTTGGTGGACACAGGTGACCTTGATGAGGACAGTGGTGGTGAGTGATGGGGACAAACTGTGCTTGGGACTGGGAGGAGAGGACTGGGACAAGAGGCACAGGCACTCTTGGGAGTTCTGCTGGTGAAGGGAAGGAGAGCTGGCGGGCGCTGGATGGGGGAGTGAGCTGGAGGGGATGTTGTCCCTGGGAAAAATAACCATGCACTTGGCTGCTCACTGGTCCAGAAGCGGGAAGGCGGTGGGACCAGCTGCACGGGGCTGGCCATGGTCACTGTTTGTGGGTGGGCATGGCCCTTGTAGACGTTTTCTGCTGGTTCCTTCCATCTTCTCAGTGGAAGAGGAGGCAGGGCCATTGCCTGAGAGTGGGTGGGAGGGGGTGGGGATGGTGGGAAGTTCGGCGAGGGAGAGGGTGGGACCGCGTCTAGGCCGCGGGTGCAGTGGAGTCTGGTTTTGGGTTTCATTTTACACATTTCCCAGTCAGGCATTCCTTAGTGGGTGGACTTCCGTCCTTGTATTCCCCACGGTGCCTTGAAGGGACTTGGTGCTCAGTGCAAGGTTTTTAGTATCAGCGATTCCCAGGCTGCCCCGAGCAGCTGAACGGTAAACACTCGTCACAGCACGGGCCCTGAGTGGAGGCCACGCTGGCCGGCGGCTGCCCAGAGCCACCTCGTACGCCTGGCACGTGCGGTCTCTTGCAGCCCTCACCACCCTTGATGTGGTACTTTGTCATCATCATCATCATCATCATCATCGTATCGTAATCTTTACTGATGAGAACCCCGAGGCTTGGGGAGGTTAAATAACTCCCAGTTCCCACGTAGCTCAGGGTTACTCGAGTCTCAGCACCGCCTGCCTAGCACAAACCTTCAGAAGGAGCTCAGATAGCCATGCTGCTGGGCCCATCCCCCCGGCCCAGCCTCCAGGGAGGTAGACTTGGGTCGTTTCCAGCCATAAAATTAGAAACAACACCTGCCATTGTTTTCTCTAGGCTCACACATTTAAGTCAAATACCGTTCCTAAGAAAAGCAATGCTCCTCCTGCAGAAGGAATTAATGCCACTTCTCTTTAAAATTATCATTATTCCCTCCATTGGTAAACGTGGAGCCCTGTGTGGGTGGGTCGTGGGCAGCCACCTGGTGGCAGGAACTAGGTCCCTGCTGGCCTTGGCTCTCACCGAGGGCTGGAAGGTCGTGGGCGAGTGACCTTGTAACAGGAGTCAGGCCCTGGGGAAGGTCGGCTGGAGGGCGCCACAGCCCCAGGGACCCTGCGGGTCAGTGTCAAGTTCTGGGTGGTGGTCCCTTGCAGGCTGGCCCGTGCTGTTGGCACTCACGGGGGTCCCCGCGCTGCTGCAGCTCCTGTCTCTGCCCTTCTTCCCCGAGAGCCCGCGCTACACCCTCATCCAGAGAGGAGACGAGGACACGGCTCGACAAGGTACCGGGATGCAGGCTGCCGGCGCCTCCCACGCCCGCCAGACGTCCCTCCATGGCGCCCAACGCTCGGGACAGGTGGTGGCCAGCAGGGAGAGGGGCCCCAAGGAGCAGGTGCCAGTGGGCTAGGAGGAGTCCAGGCAGCTCCGGAGTAAGGCCCAAGGGGGAGCACAAACAAGGTCAGAGCCACGGCTGACCCGTGTTGGCTTGAGAGCCTGACCAGCATGGGATGTGGTTGGGGTTGGGGACACCATCACATGGTTGGGTCCTGGTTGGGTCATGAGCACTCCGCACTGGGAAAATGGGGAGCCGGTGTCCAGAGGTGGGCCGAGCAGGTGGGCCGAGCAGGTGGGCGGCTGCCCTCCGCCCCGAGCACAGGTGAGTGCGGTCAGCCACAGGGGCTGCTCTGCTCCCCGCAGCTCTGAGGAAACTGAGGGGCTGGGCCGATGTGGAGGACGAGATCGAAGAGATGCGCGTGGAGGACCAGGCCGAGAGGGCCGAGGGCCGCCTGTCCGTGCTCAACCTGTTCACCTTCCGGCCCCTGCGGTGGCAGCTCATCTCCATCATCGTGCTCATGGCCGGCCAGCAGCTTTCCGGGGTCAACGCGGTACGTGGGGCCTCGTGGGGCACCTGTGTGCCTGGCAGCCGTGCGGGCAGGGGGTGGAGGGTAGAGGGGGGCTGAGATGAGTGATCGGCCCTGCAGGCGGCCGCAGAGGTGCCTGGCCAGGTTCTCCCTCAGAACTTCTGGTCCATTCGAAAGCCGCTGGATTCAATCAGACGGGCTGCATCCCAGTCTCCTAACGCCATGTCCCAGCTCTTTTCCCAGCTGCCTCCCTCCTGTCCAAGAGCCCCTTGGCCTCCCAAACTGTTTGCTGTAGAGTCAGGAAAGGCAGGCCAGTGGCCGACCCCGTGGGCCGGTCCTCACAGCCCTGGGTTTCTGTTTCAGATTAACTACTACGCAGACATGATCTATACATCCGCTGGCATATCAGCCGCTCACTCCCAGTATGTAACCGTGAGCGCCGGCGTGGTCAACATAGTCATGACCGGTGTTTCGGTGAGCGACCGGGAATACCCTTTCCACTGGGGGGGAGGGGACCCTGGCAGGTGCCCCGCAGACAGACAGGGACCCCACAGAGCCCACTGAGGTGCTGGTGACACCAGTCCCAGGTCACTGAGGGACACAGACTTTGGGATACGCACACGCACACGCACACGTTTCTTCCTTTGTAAAATGGTTACAGCGATTGCAATACCCAGGACGCTGGTGTGGGTCCCGGGCACAGAGACGAAGTTGGCCTTCTCTCTCTAACCTGCACGCGGTGGTGGGCCGCCCCTGTGGGCCTCGCTCGACGGCGGGGACAGTCCCACCTGCAGGACTGGAAGTGACGTGCACGCAGTGACCGTAGAGGGCCCGCCACCGAGTTGGCCTCGGTGTGGCCCCGGTGCTGGCGCTGGCGGTAGGGATGCGGTAGAACTGGAAATGCGTTAGAACTCGGAGAGAGGAAGGAAGGCCAGCCAGGGCAGCGTGGCCCAAGTTGGGAACATCCGAGAGGGTTCGGGCTGAGAGAGAGGTGCGTGTCCGGGAAGTGGAGGAGGACGTGCGTGGGGTGACTGGGCCTCGAGACGGGAGGTCAGATCCTGGCTGCTCACCGCCTGAATTGGAGCAGCAGGTGTCAGGGGGGGCCATTCTAAAACGTAGGATTTATTATTGTTCAGGGAGGGGTAGGCCGGCATAGCAGGAGGTGATTGCCATTGGAAAGACAGTCTGCCACTCCTAGTTCCAAACTGTGTGAGGAGGGAGGGGCAGGCCACGCCACTCAGGGCCACGCCGGGAGGCACCAGGGTCAGCCGGGAGGCGGAGGGAGCAGGGGAACGCGGGCAAGAGCCTGCATTGTGGTTTCTGTGGGACCACGGGGTGAGCAGGCTCAGGCCTGGCCCGTGTGAACAGTTTCAGGGATTCTGGGATGCGGGGGCTGCCCGGGTTGTCTGGTACCTGCCCTGGGTGATCAGGACAGGGGGACAGCAGCCCTGGGTGTGAGCGCCCCCTGGAGGAGGAGGTCGGAGGTGCGGGCTCTGGATGGGGCAAACTTTTTGACTCGAGGGCCACAATGGGTTCTTAAACTGGACCGGAGGGCCGGAACAAAAGCATGGATGGAGTGTTTGTGTGAACTAATATAAATTCAAAGTAAACATCATTACATAAAAGGGTACGGTCTTTTTTTTTTTTAGTTTTATTCATTTCAAACGGGCCGGATCCGGCCCGCGGGCCGTAGTTTGCCCACAGCTGGACCTTTAGTTTCACCTGAAAGGCACATTCACGGGCGATGTTGGCTCTCTAGAAACTGGCCAACCACCGTAGGAACAGTCCTTCCAGGGGTCAGCAGGGCCCCAAGATGGCAAAGCATCAAATGCAGAAACTAGAAAATGTAGAAGGGGTGGAGGGCCAAGAGTTCCGGGCGCCCTGGGCCTGGAGGCTCCTCACGTCCTCCCTCCCCACAGGCCGGCACCGTGGAGTGGCTGGGCAGACGGCTCCTCCTGCTGGTCGGCTATGGCATCTGCGGCTCGGCCTGCCTGGTGCTGACGCTGGCGCTCCTCTTCCAGGTCTGGTTCCTTTCTGGGCACCTGGCACCCGGCACCCCCTCCCCACCCTCAGGACCCAGAGCCGCAGGCGGGTGGGAGGTCCCGGTGACAGACCGGCTCCAATAGACCAGGGTGGGTCTCAGCCAGTCTGGCTCCACACGCCTTCAATGCAAGTATTGTGCGTTGCTGTTTTTTTGTTTTGCTTTGTTTTTTTAACCCTCGCCCGAGGAGATTTTCCCATTGATTTTCTAGAGAGAGTGGAAGGGAGTGGTGACAGTGACCTGTGCAGCTGGGTCGGTTGAAGTCTGTTCCCCTGGTTTTGTGTCGGCCATTGTCCTGGCTGTGGGGAGATGGCCCACCCGCTTTCCTGGTCCCCGGGCTTCTAGAAGGATCCTCTCAGCTAGCGTGGAGTCCTGGCCCCGGCGCCATCCTGCTGATTGTCTCACCTGGGCTGTTGCTCGACCCCCCAGGGCCCTCCTGGTCCGAGTTCAGGCTCTCGGTGCTGAGTCCACATCTCTAGGTTTGAAACAATAATGTCCCGCTCACAGGCGTGTCATGGGGATTAATGGTTAACGTTGTGATGGGTGGAGAGTGAGTGAGCTCATGGCAGGCAGGTAGGGCTGGAGGGATCCTCTGGGAGCTGGAATGCTGGCCAGCCCTGGTTTCATCTTCCTCCTGCTCTTGCCCAGCACCCTCGAGGCCCTCCCACGTGGGTGAGCAGAAATCCAGGCTCCTCCCTGTGGTGGGAAGGCGCCTGGTGTGGTGGACTCACCTGCCCTGAGCTCTCCAAGGCCGCAGGCGGGTGGGAGGTCCCCTAACAGACCGGCACCGACAGCCCTGCTCTCCCCACAGAGCGCGGTCCATGGGCTGTCCTACCTCGGCGTCATCTGCGTCTTCTCCTACATCGCGGGACATTCCATTGGGCCCAGTGAGTACCCGCACCCCCTAGCCCTCCACAGATAGAGCCCTAGCTGGTTTGGCTCAGTAGATAGAGCATCAGCCTGCGGACTGAAGGCTCCCAGGTTCAATTCTGGTCAAGGGCACATGCCCGGGTTGCAGGGTCGATTCTCTATTGGAGGGCAGGCAGGAGGCAGCTGATCAATGATTCTCTCTCATCATTGATGTTTCTCTCTCTCTCTTGCTCTCCCTTCCTCTCTGAAATTAATAAAAATATACATTTTTTTAAACCATAGATAGATATACAGTAAATAAACAGATATACAGTGTACCTGTGGTGGTGAAACTTTATAAGGGATGATGATTAGGAAAAAATGGGTTTATAAATTTTAGACAAGTCTCCTTAATGACAAAAGGTGGAGAAACAGACCTCAGGCAAGGTGCGTGCAGCAGGGGCCTGCCATTCCCCAGACCTACCACAGGGGGCAGCACTTCCCAGACACAAGCACTCATTGAGCTCTGCTCCCCTTCATTGAGAATTTCAAAATGGCACCAACACCGGGGAGAGTGGACTCGGTGTGACCTCGAGGGCCCCGAGGGAGGTTGTCCCCCCGCCCCATGCCACTGCAGCCCTGGTGCGCCCGGAGGAGCCAGCGGGGAAGGAAGCAGGGCGCTGGCTAGAGATGCCGGCTCCTCCCTGGCCATCTAGGACCCAGGAGGCCTGGGGCCTACAGTTCCATCGTGTTTGCCTGATCGGAGGGGCTGGGGCTGGGCGAGGGCCCCCCCGAGCCCGCTGCGCCCCACTGGCCCTGTGCTCTCTGCCCTCGAGGTCCCGTCCCCTCTGTGGTGAGGACTGAGATCTTCCTGCAGTCCTCCCGGCCGGCCGCCTTCATGGTGGACGGGGCTGTGCACTGGCTCACCAACTTCATCGTGGGCTTCATGTTCCCTTCCGTCCAGGTGAGCAGGTGGTGGGCGGGAAGCATGGTGGGTGGCCCCTTGCCCCCCTCCCTGTCCCACCCTGCCCACCCCCAGGCAGAGAGCCTTGGGGAACCAAGCACAGGCTCCTTCTACTAAGAGCATCAGCTATTTCGGCATACGTGGTACCTTATTGGACAAACTTATTGGTCAACACAAAACTGGCCACCGAGGAACTCCCGGGTGGCGCCCCGAGGCCTCCCCGGGAGCAGCCCCTGTCCTTTCTTCCTCCGTTCCCTCCTGTTTTCTTGTCTCTCGGCCCAGGAGGCCATCGGGGCCTACAGTTTCATCGTGTTTGCCGGAATCTGCCTCCTCACTGCTGTTTACATCTACATGGTGATTCCTGAGACCAAGGGCCAGACATTTGTGGAGATAAACCGAATATTTGCCAAGAGAAACGGAGTGGAGATTCCAGAGCCGCGAGAAGAAACCACAGGTGTTGAGCCTCGCGCGTCTCCGCCCGCAAAGGAAACTTTCTTCTGATGGCTCTGCAGGTGCCACACCACACTCGGAGGCCAGTCCCCGAGAAAGGGACTCCCCCCAGGCCTCACGGGAGGGTCACAGCTCTGAGCTTTCTGCGCCCGCAGTGGCAACTGGAAGGCTTTGGAAAGATCAGTCCCTGGTTTGGTGGAGACGTGGTTAGCTTCCAGCCGTAATTACCGGGTGGTGTGACTCCGGAGAATGGGCAGGCCCTCCGCATTGATTGGCAGGACTCGGTGCTCTGACTATGGATGTAGGGGTCAGAGACTCATGGAATACTGCATGGATGTACTTTTATAAAGTAAAATGTTTCAAGTTCAGCTATTCATAGGGAGACCTGAATTCCAATCAATGTATTGGCTTGCGAATGAAAGGAACTAGAGGCCAAGGCTCCGGATTCCACTGCCGCTCACGCTCCGTGCCGTGGCTTGCACGTATTCTGGTCAGCGTCACAGCCTGCAGGGACAGCTGCGCAAGAGAGGTAACAGGTGTTCTTGGGCCTGTTTAGAAAAACGCCCTCTCTGGGTGGGTCAGTTGACCTCTGCCTTGGAAACAGGAGAGCACTGTATCGAAAGATACAAAGTACTAAAGCTCACTCAGTAGGAAATAGACAGCCTGTGTAGTCCTACATCCACCAAAGAAATTGAATCTGTGGTTAAAAACCTTTCCACAAAGAAAACCCCAGGCCCAAATGGGTTCACTGGTGAATTCTACCAAACATTTAAGGAAGAAATAATACCAATTTGACACAAAGTCTTCCAGAAAATTAAAGAGGAAGGAATACTTCTGAATTCATTGTAGGAAGAAGTCATCATTATTCCGATTCCAAAGCCAAACTAACGATGTTACAAGAAAACTACAGATTAACACCCCGCATGAACATAGATACAAATTTTACCAGATTTTACCATAGATACCAGATTTTAGCAAATAGAACACAATAATAAGGATAATAATATATTCTGACCAAGTGGGCTTGTTCTAGGAATGCAAGGTTGGCTTAATCCTCCACAAATTTATCTATAGATTCAACACAATTAGAACCAAAATTGCAGCAGGCCTTTTTTGGGCGGGGAGGGTAGAAATTGACAAGCCCATTCTACAATTTATGTGGAAATGCAAAAAAACCTAAAGTAACCAAACCAACTTTGAGAAAGATGAAGTTGGAGGACTTATTACCTCATGTCAATACTCATATAAAACTACAGGTATCAAAACAGCATGGTTGGTATAGCAGGTAGATCAATGGAGAACAAGAAAGAACCCAGAAATAAACCTCCACATCCAGAGATAACTGATTTTTGTCTAAAGCAATCTGAATGGTGACAGGATAGTATTTCCAACAAATGCACTGGGGTATAATTATATCCATATGTGGGAAAAAAGAACTTTATCCATACCTTACATTAATGCAAAATGGATCACAAGCCTAAATTAAGACTTAATAAAACTTCTAAAATAGAACATAGGAGATAAATATTTATGAGCTTGGATTACACAAAAATAACACCAAAAGCACAATTCACAAAAGAAAATATTGCTAAATTGGACTTTGATACAATTAAGAACTTCTGCTATTTGTAAGACACTATTATGAATATAAAAAGACAACCACAGACTGACACATATATATGCAAACCTCATATCTGAGAAAGACGTGTATCTAAATGTATAAATGTGTAATGAATAAAGAACTCTCGCCATAGCCGGTTTGGCTCAGTGGATAGAGCGTCGGCCTGCGGACTCAGGGGTCCCGGGTTCGATTCCGGTCAAGGGCATGTACCTTGGTTGCGGGCACATCCCCAGTGGGGGGTGTGCAGGAGGCAGCTGATCGATGTTTCTCTCTCATGGATGTTTCTAACTCTCTATCCCTCTCCCTTCCTCTCTGTAGAAAATCAATAAAATATATTTT